CAAAAAAACTCCACCTACAGGTCTCTGTGAGTTCAAGCCCAGCCTAATCTACATAGTGAGTTCCAGGATATCCAAAGCTACATAGTGAGACCCTTGAAAACAAAGTCTTTTCCAAGCCGCACAGCTGAGAGACAGAATACTCCTTTGCATCGTCTCCTGTATTGAGCCATTCCTAAGGTCCCTATCTACATGATCAGTCATGGATTTTCTCCTTCTCTTATTAAAGACTGGACAGAGGGCTATTGTCTATCACCTTTACCTTGATCTCTCTTACTATGGGGCTCTTCCCAGGGGTTCCAACTTTTTGAATCCTAGGAAGGGCTTCTTAGCACACATCCAACCTGCACTCTCTTTCACTTGAATCTTACCAACGGTGAGAAACAACACACCTCCATTTTTTTTTTCACTTTTTTCTTTTTCCAGATCAGTGACTTATACAGAGGCTAGAAACAGCATGTTTAGGGGTTTGTTTGCTTGCTTTTAAAATAAATAAATATAATTCCTCCCTTACTCCCACAAGCTCTTTCTGGAACACAACTGAGCCTCATATGTATATCATATTACCCCAAACAAAGCCTATACCACTGAAGCCACAGCCTGCTTAAGACACTGACCCATACATTCTACTTTCAGGGACTGGTAAACATCTTTTAGCCCACCAGCTGTTTAGGGAGCATTCCCATAATTCAGGAGGTAGAACCTATTCATCAAGAAGACACCATGTGGTTACTGGAAGTTGAACTCAGTACCAAACTTTTAACAGAACAAAGGCTGTATACAACAAACCTATAACAACATTATAAATCCGGAAAAACAAATTGCCCCTAAAATCTGGAATGAGGCCAGATTGTCCATTCTTTATACTCTTATTGACTGGAGTGTTTAAGATCTTAGTACAGTAAGACATAAGAAAGAACAAAGATTAACCTGCCTTTAAGAGAACAGTGTAATCCAGGTGGTGGTGGCACACACCTTTAATCCCAGCACTCGGGAGGCAGGCAGATCTCTGTGAGTTCAAAACCAGCCTGGGCTACAGAGTGAGTTCCAGGACAACCAAGGCTACAGAAAGAAATCCTGTCTTGAAAAACCAAAAGGGGGATGGGGGGGGGGGGACCACAATGAAAAAAACAGCCTTACATGCTACTGACAAATGGGGTTGTGAGAAATTAAGAGTGTCTGACAACAAAGGAAATAAACACTAGTGTGAAGAGACAGCTACAGAATGGAAAGAAGGATTTTACAAAAAAAAGAAAATGTATGTATAGACAAGGGATTAATTAATTAAATATGTAAATATAATTAATATATTTCCAAGATATATAAAGAACAACACAAATTAATCACCCCTCTCCTCAAATCATTCAATCACAAACAAGGTAATGAACAGAAAAGAACAAAAACAAAACAGAGCAATGGGTAAGGGTACTTCCCACTAAACTTGCTTTCCCCCAGGACTCACATGGCGGAGAGAATCAGCTCCCGTAAGTTACCCTCGGATCTCCATATGTGTGCCCACAAATACACAAAATAGATACATGGGGTGGGGGATAGTCACAAAAATACAAATGGCCAATAAAGCTTGAAAAAGTATTCCACAACCTCAGCTTTCAGGGAAACTTGTGCAGCAGCTGTGGAGATCAGTGTGCAGCTTCCTCAAAAAAGGGAAACAGAACCAGCATTAGACCCAGCCACACCGCTCCTCGGTATATACCCAAAGGACTCTTTAGTCAGTGCACAGAATACTTTCACATCCACATTTATAACTGAACTACTCAGGATAGCCAGGGAATGGAAGCAGCCTAGATATCATTTTGAGTTTGTTTGTTTGTTTGTTGCAATTTGTGGGTCTTAAATTACTTAGTTTCCCTTTTTAATCCTAAAGTCCACTACAGGCTATCTCTCCAAGTCTACTGTCACCATCCAGTTTCTCTCCTTGTGGGCAGGGCAGCCAGCGTCACTAGATTTGTTTGCAAGCTTCCAGAAACCTTTTATACATATGCAATGACTTTAATGTATCAATTCCTGTCGTTTGACATAACATGCATGCATTCTCGCAGCTTGCTTTAAAAAAAAATCTACCAGTTTTTCTCGGAAACCACTTCATAATATTTTATAAAGAGGTTCTTTTTGCTTAATTAAGAAGTGGACAGTGATCCATTGCATTGGCAATATTATAATTTATTCAAGCAGTTCCTTATTAATGAGCATTTAGGTTTTTTTCTTTTTTCTAATACCAAACCATGGAATTGAATTGAATAGATAATTTTCTATATGTTCCTTTAGGTGAAATACCAAAGAAAAAGTCCAAATGTGTGCACATTTACAAGTTTGCAATTGCCACTCACAGACACTGAATCAATTTATAACCCTATAGACAATATATGTGAGTGAGTATCTAGTGCCTGGTGCCTCACACTGACTACCCACACAATGTTAATGAAATATTTTTATCCTTGGTAATTGGTGAAAATGGTTTACTAATGTAGTTTTAATTCATCATGGGTGAGGTAAAGTATCTTAACTATGATGATCACTTACATACTACTTTTGTCTTTTTGTGGTCTACATACTTATCTTACACTCCACACAGTCTCATTATTGTTGTTGCTATTTGTTTGTGCTGCTGTTGTTCTGAGATGGGGATCTCAGTGTATTCCAGCTGTCCTGGAATGGTAGGGCCCAGGTGGATCTCAGACTGGTTAAGAGTTGTTTTAATTTTATGTGTTTGCCTACATGTTTATTGTGTGCACCCCATGTCTGCAGTGCTCACGGAGGTCAGAAGAGGCCATTGAATCTCCTAGGACTGGAGTTATAGACAGTTGTGAACAACCATGTGGGCACCAGTCAGCTTCTAGCATCCACACTGGGGAGCTCACCAACACCTGTTAACTCCTGTTGTGGAGACTCTGCTGCCCTCTTCTGGCCTCCATAGACACTTTCACACACAGGGCAAACACATTAAAAAGGTGGGTGTGGCAATGTACACCTTTAATTCAAGCACCTGGGAGGCAGAGGCAGGCAAATCTCTTGAGTCCGAGGCCATCTTGACCTACATAGTGAGTTCCAACTGTTTCAAGATGGTCACTTTCTGGGAGTATACATGGCTTTTCATGAACTTGTCATGTCCTAAAACATTGATTGTTGCATGAATCTTAAAGAGTCTTGTTAATAAAATCAAACCTGATGCCAGTTATTGGGGTGTGCTGGAAGATCAGAGAAGCAGAACAGGCCACAGCCACCTCACCTCACCAGTTCCTCAGCTGATCCTATTTCCTCAGACTGGAAGCTTCTGAGTCCTCATCCAAATGGATCTCAGGTGAGTTGTGCTGCTCAAAGCCTAAAAGCTTAACCAGCCAAATGCTTCTAGTTTCTGGTCTTCACGCCTTATATATCTTTCTGCCATCACTCCCTGGGATTAAAGGCATGAGTCACCATGCCTAGCTGTTTCCAATGTGGCCTCGAACACACACAGATCCAGAGGGATTTCTACCTCTGGAATGCTAGGATTAAAGGCGTGTGTTACCACTGCCTAACCTCTATGTTTAATTTTGTGGCTGTTCTGTCTTTGACTCCAGATAAGTTTATTAGGGTGCACAATATTTTGGGGAACACAATACCACCACAATTGATCCCACTGCTGTGCTTCCTTCCTGCCCTCCAAACACATCGTTCTCTACCTCATTCAAGACTTTCCCTAGTCCCAAGCACAGATCACATGTTCGTCCTACAAAATTTGTAGGTTTTATTGGTTCTTTTTTAAATTTCTGATTATAAAGGCTTACAGTGTGTGTGTGTGTGTGTGTGTGTGTGTGTGTGTGTGTGTGTGTGACTGGAGAGACGGCTCAGATTGTTTTTCTAGAGCACCTGGCTTTCTTTCCTGTCAGCGATAGGACAGCTCATAACCATCCGTAACACCAGTCCCAGGGGCTTCAACGCCTTCTTGACACACATGCAAGCAAAGCACCCATACACATAAAATAAAAATCTTTTAAAAAAAAAATAAAAAATAAGTTTAGAAAATAAAAGCATATAAAAGATGATAAAATGACACAAAATCATCTATCCCTAAAATTTGCTAACGTTGGATATGTATTCCGAAGTTTATGACTAATATTGATTTATGCCTTGCTCTCTTAAAATTATTCTAATAATTTTTTCAAGTGAGTACAAATGGATTTAAGGCTTTGTTGCCTTTATTATCATATTAAAATTATCAATCATACCACTCTACCATATAATAGTCATTTTTATGTAAAGGATGAACTTTTCTGCTTACTACTTGAAAGTTCAAAATCTACAGCACCAAATGCAATTAGTTACTTTTTTAAAAAAAAATCTTATTTCCAAGGGATGAATTCTTATTCATCAAGAGCATAAACGAGGCTGCCGGGCAGTAGAGGCACACACTTTTAATCCCAGTACTCGGGAGGCAGATCTCTGTGAGTTCAGGCCTGCCTACTCTACGGACCGAGTTCCAGGCCAGCCTGGGCTGTTAAGACAGAAAAAATCAAAACCAAAACAAAACAAAAGAGCATAACTTCCTTAAATTCTTTGGCAGGGGTGGTAAGACAATGAGCAACAAAATAGTGACACAGCGCTATGCGACCAGCAGGTGTGTTTTTCTTGATCTGTAAGGAGAGGAAGAGACACCTCCAGGCTCCAGCAAGTCGCATGCTGGTGCCCGGGGGCCTGAAACTCAGCGTTTAAATAGGACAAGGGTCGTAGGCTACACGGCAGCGGTCCACGGGAAACGCTCTCCGACGACCAGATCTTTAGTTCTCAGCTTTGTCTCGGCTTCTGCGAACTAGAGGATCGTAGCCACTGGGGAGGGCAACACCTAGTCCTGGAGGACAACCAGGGTGAGGACGGTGGCCGCAAAGCACGCTTTTTAAGTTGAACCAGCACGGAGCCCGCGACTGCCCTCCGCTGCCTGCCGCGCCTGCGCAGAGCCGCCAGCGACAATGAAAGGCTCCGGGAAAAACCTCCGCACCGACACTCACCCGACCATGAAGTTACACGAGGAGGCTGGGCTACTCCGCTGGGACACCCAAACCCAAGCGTTCCTAAAAAACGAACCCCACGAGAGCTCAGCCTTCGACCTCTCCACATCGCGACAAGAATCCCACTCCTTTTCCGGTCCCTCCTCACAACAAATCCCCAACAGAATGGTTCCGATGCCCACACTCGCCATCTGCTGCCGGCTTTTGAATTTACAATACAGTTAACGTGAATTGCGGCCACTGTTGAATAATTCGAGTTCATCTACCAAATTATGTCAATGAAACAATAAAATCTTCCTTCTAGTATAAAAAGGCCATGAAGATCTTCTATTCCTACTTACCTCCCTACGTATCACTGTGTTTGGATTTCATATTTACCAGGTATCTCCCCAGAGACGTGTGAATTCTTGAAAGACCCTACTCTAATACTCGAAATCACTTAAGTATGGACGCACTTCGTCCGAGAGCAGAACTCTCTCTTCCAAGGCACTCAAGTATCACAGACAATAAAAGTCCAAATTAAAGTACATTTTCTGAAACTGATCTAATATTCTGTACAGGATACATCATATGTAGCAGGAAACTTAACACTCAGTGTAGACAAAGATCAGTATATAACATTTTAATTCTGACTGCACATGCTTTGTCAACTTGACACTTTAGTCACCAGGGAATGTGGAGCCTCACTTGAACTGCCTTCATTAGAGTGGATGGTGGGTTTGTAAGTGGGAATATTGATTGATTTATGTGGGAGGGTCCAGCCCTCCGGCAAGTGGTCCTGGGTTGTATCAGAAAGCCGAATAAGCAAGACAGTAAGCAGCTTTAATTTATAGATCCTGCCCTGACTTCCCTCAATAATGGATTAAAATCTCTAAACGCTTTTCTCAAACTGCTTTTTTTAAGATCAGTGTTTTATCATAGCAACAGAAAGCAAACAAGGCAGTTTTTTAAAAAGAGCCTTTCCTCATAAAAGCATAGGGAATTTCTAAAATTGGGGGCATCATTCTACATTTTTGACACGCAGTGTCATTCTTTGAATCAGTGAAATTTACTAAGCTCTCATTTACATCTCCTGAGCTAAAATATTAGCCGAAGAGCAGCTGCACTTTTCAGCTGCTGTACCATATTCAGAGTTCCTGCGTTTGGAGATATATGACCATTTCTCCAAATGAAGGCAGAAAGTTCTATAGAAAAGTTAACATGTCTTATGTTTTTGTTGGATTGACAGATCCAAGGAAAGTCAATGGTGCAAACATGGTTAAAATTCCAAGGACTTTTAGTAAATTGATTGTACTTACATTAAATGTATACTACACAGCTCCACTGCCTATCCAGTTTCATATCAACAAAAGCAAAAAGGTGATGTGCCTTAAATACTAGTAGGAAGCAAAGAGCTTTCTAGACCCCAGCACATCAACAAGAAGTTTTCTGCAAATTAACCCTGAACGGTGTCAGAAATAAAAGCATGACTGTAATGCAATATGTAGCCACTGTTGCAGAAATTTCCTAGAGTAACTCTGGTTTAACTTATGAACAAGCTGTAAACTAGCTTATACATGTTTTAGAAAACTCAACACCTATTTACATTCATAGTGTTTTCTACAGTTTTTCATCAAAAATGAATGTTTATAATGTCTGTAAAAGTTAGTGTCTATAAAAGTTTTATCCTTTGACTATATCCACTCAGCTGAATGAGTTTTTGTATTTACTCAAAAAGTCTATTACTTGGCAACTCTGAGAAACTCTATCCTGCCAAATTCTATTTAAAACTGAACTTAAAGGGAAACTGAAGAAATGGCTAAGGAGGATCCAAGTTCAGTTTTCAGCACCTACATTGTGACTCACAACCACCTGTAACTCCCTACCTAGAGCATCTAACATCATTTTCAGGCCTCTTTGGGCACCCTAACACAGAGAATACACATTCATTATAATTAGTTCAGTTTAGAAATTTCAATACATTAAATAGGTTTTTTAAGCCGGGCAGTTAGTGGCACATGCCTTTAATCCCAGCACTCAGGAGGCATAGGCAGATGGGTCTCTGAGTTCAAGGCCAGCCTTGTCTACAGAGCAAGTTCCAAGACAGCCTGAGAAACACTGTCTTGAAAAACCAAAGAAAAAGTAGTCAACAAGACAGTCTACAAAGGCAGAAGACATACACATTAATGAAAAAAATGCACAATATTTATGTGGGGCCTGAAAGAAATCTTCTAATTTCCTTTTCCAAATCACATTCTCTTAATGGGGTGGGGCCCACCCGTATTCCACAAAAACACTTTAATTCCTACTCTAGAGAACGCTGAATCTTTTAAAAGGCTCCTCCTCCCCCACATTTACTGTGTATGTGCAGGCATGCACAAAGCAAGTGTGGGAGGGTTACAGAACAATATTATTTAACAATATTAATACTCAGAATGTTATTATTAAAGTGAAAATAGTATTTCACTTGAAGATTGATCTTAAACACTTTAAGGTATGAAGAGGGGATGAAAGAACAGCTTTCAGAGTTGGTTCTCTCCTTCCACCATTTGGGTCTGAGGATTACTCAGGTCACCAGGATTTGCAGCAAGCATCCTTACCTGCTGAGGCAACTTAAAATAGCCCTGAAGACATCAATCCACCGCTCACTCTAATCTATGCTTGTGTGTGTGTGTGTGTGTGTGTGTGTGTGTGTGTGTGTGTGTGTGTGTGTGTGTGTGTGTGGTATGTGTGGACTAGAGAGTGTCTTACCCCCTGGGCGAAGAGTTATAGCAGACTGTGAGCCACCTGGGAACTTGTGAGCTGGGGAGCAAACCTGGGTCATCTTGAAGAGCTGCAGCAAGTGCTCTTAACCACTGAGGCATCTATCTAGACTTTCAAAAGAAAATCTCTTAAAAACAGTTCTCATTTTCCAATTCAGACTGAATGTCCCAAATATTGGAGTTATTCATTTTTGGAAAGTGTCATTTTTTAAAGGATTTCATAACCAAAGTTAATATCTAATTAGCTTTCATGTATGATTTAGCATTCACACCCTAAGTTATGTAAGTCCTATCCTAAAATTATTTTCCCACTCAGATAAACACTATGTCACATGTAAAATAATGAACTTTCCATAAAAATATGACAGATGGAAATACAATCATAATACAGGTGTATCTACTAATAATCATGAATAGTTTGTTGGTTTTAAAAATTACAGATTTAATGATAAAAAGCATGCAGTTTATTAAATAAAACTGGCAAATTCCTTTTGGCTCTCATTTGTATGTCTAAAAATGTATGTATCATAACCAGCAGAATTTTTCAGTAGAATTTTATTTTGAAAATATTTCACTTGAAGATTGATCTAAAACACTTTAAGGTATGAAAATTTTATACAACTTATCTATTACAAATTAATCAGAATTCTTCAATTAGGTACACTGTGTTAGCTCACCTACATAAAAAATATTGCACATAGTTTGTCTCCAGGTGTTACTGATGAGTAAACTATATAGAACTCCAAACTATTTATTCTGTGAAATGGCAACTTTATAAATATTGGAACTAAATGCACTGTAAACAGCCATTTTGGTAAACATGCATTTATTCACAGATTTATTTCCTTTAGATAAATGCATAACTGCTCAAAATTAAGATGCTATGTCGAGGTACAAGCGCACACAAATCTATTTCTGTCTTCATTTCAAGTAAACACTGATCTTGGCAAAAATCCGGCATTATTTTTAAAATGAACTATTGTTGGTAAGAAAGTATAATACTTTAAAACTTCTCTGTGTTCTGCACTTGCACTTCTCTTTTTCAGTTAGAATTGAAAAGCATTGTTTCCAGAGATTCAACTACCGCTGCATAAGTGTATCATCTTAAAAACTCAGACCCTGAGGCAGCCGAGCACTTGTCAAAATGCCTACTACTCATGAAACCGTCCATGACTCACACTAGACCACTGGTCATAGTTTTTGGAAACTGACAAAATCAGACCATTTCAATGTTATGTAATTGACACAACCCTGCATAACACAGTATTCCTCCATTAAGCTGAGGCCATATTATAGTTTAGAAATATAAATATATTGAATCCTAAGTCTTATTTCTATGGTAACCCCAAGGTGTTATGCATGTAAAACAGGAGTGATTATATAGTTCCAGACTTGACTATTAGTGTCAAATATTCATTACAAACAATTCTACTGGTGCAATGGCCTGATTGTTTGCAGCAATTTCATTTTACAGGAGTGAATCACATTTTATACACATAGAGAATATATTACTTGAAACCTAACCCCCCTCCCCCCAGAAGTTTAGGAAACTGATCAGATGCCTTCAAATGAAAAGTAAGGAGATTTTCTGGCCCTTTCCCACACCCTGAAAATTGGAATTTGACAAAAATCCATGGGCGTAATTTACAAACTTTGACAAACTATTATTAGGTTAAAACCATTTTCTTTGGGGAAGATGTGAGGAACCTTTAAAACCTGTTATACAAAACTTCAGCTGCCTTTTTATAAAAGTACGTTCTTTAGATTAAAATCATAAAATTAAGGTGCAAGAGTTTAACAAAAATGAACTGAAGAGCTTTATTGACATCACAGTACATTCAAGAATAATTTGAAGAACATTACAGCTGAAAGAGAATGGCATATTTATAGTCTTATTATGTACTATGTCTTGAAAAAATGTAATACAAAGAAATCCTATTAACTTGGAGCAGCATTTGGAAAAAAGACATCTATTTACACAATTAAAAAAAAAAATCTGGTTTCACCTCCACAGCCACAATGTGCCTCTATAATGAGACAAGCCCTTAAAACTCATGGAATTTTTAAAAACAGCATCATGGCACTCTTGCCACATCATTCCTCAGCGCTTACGACGGGGAGGGGTTGTTGATCTGGAAAAAAAAAAAGGGAAAAGACAAAATTTAAAAATAAAAATGTATTATACTTAAAATCTGCAATATAAATAAATACTGTTATACAGGATTTCTAATGTTATTTAAAAATATTTAACAAATACCAAACTGAGTTTATAAAAGAGAGAGAGAGAAAGGACACTTTCAATTTGAATAAATTCAAAAACTTTAAAAACAAATCAGACAAAATACTTTCAAAAGTATACTACCTTGATCGGGACTTAGACTTGTGTTTGC